CATCGTCCGTGCGGCACGGGAGCCACGCACGCAGCTCATCGCGCGATCGCTTGCAGGCGAGCACTTGCTCTCAGCAGCCGCTCCTCCTCGTTCCCTAACTACCCCTCCTCGTCCGAACTACCCCTCCTCGTCCTAACTACCCCTCCTCCCTCCTCCTCCCGCCTCGTCTTAACTACCCCTCCTCGTTCCCTCGTCCTCTCTTCACTGCCTCTCCTCCCTTCCCCGTTCTTTCATCATTCCTCCCCTCCCCCGCCTCCACCTCTCCTCCTCCTCCTCCTCCTCCTCCTCCTCCTCCTCCTCCTCCTCCTCCTCCTCACCCTCCTCCTCCTCACCCTTCATCCGCCCCCTTCCTTCCCCCTCCGACCTTTCCACCGCCTATCTCTATTTCTACTGGTCCTAGTTCTCCAACTCCTGCCCTTCTTCCATTATCTGCCTCCACAATTTCGCCTCGGGTCGGGAAGGGATGCTCTTCACCTTTATCCCCCTGCTCCCTCCGCCTCCTCCCCCTGCTCCCCTTCCCGCCCCTCTTCCCCTCCCTCGTCCCCCCCCCCTCCCTCCCCGCCTGCCTCCCCCCTCCCTATTCCCTTTCCCCCTCCCTCCTGATCACCGAGCCCCCTTCCCCTGCCCCCACCCACTCGGGATTCTCACTCCCGGTCCGCCGCGGTTTCGCCGCGTCGCCGCCCGTCCCGCGGCCGCCTCGCTGCCGCCCACTTGGGGGGTCCGCCCGGGTTTCGCCGCGTCGCCTCGCGCGGCCGCCCGGTTGCCGCCCGCTTCGGGGGGTCCGCCTTGGTCTCGCTGCCGCCGCCCGCTGCCGCCTCGGTTCCGCCTGGGGGGTCCGCCCCCAGAGCCTGCCAGACCTGGCTCAGGCCACCGAGCGCACACCATGTGAGATACGCAACGCAGCTGACGTCAGGTAGCCGACGCTGCAGATAGCTCACACCACGTGGCCCGCACCGCATAGCTAGTTGGAGCACTGTTCCGTGCACCACGTTGTTCAGACATCACAGCTCATCTCACATGGCGGCTAACATGTTTTATGTACGTGTTACTAGATCCCCTTCTCCCGTCATAGATTATTCTCTCTCTCTCTCTTTTTCCCTCTCTCTCTCTCTCCCTCTCGTCTTCTCGTTCTCTCGTTCTCTCGCTCTCTCTCTCTCTCTCTCTCTGAATAGTTGTAGTATACTTACATGTCTTAAGTGTGCTACTTCTTATGCGCATATATTTTTTTATATATATATATATATATATGCATTACACAGCTGTTGTCCTCCTCTCCTCATCTTCCTCCTCCTCCTCATCCTCCTCCTCTGAGGTCGATCGCCGTTTTAGCGGCCGCTGCTACCAATACATTCGTGATTGGTCGCCAGACGGAGGTTACTAAGGGCAACTCGTTGTTGGTATGAGTTGGCATGGCGTGGTTGCAAAGGCATGGGTCGAATTTTATCCTCTGAATCCTCTCCCTCCCCTCAGCCCAAACCTCCCAAGGCCCCCCGCCAGACCCTCTGGTGGGGTCTGGCGTGGGGCCCTGGTCTCAGTGGGGGGGATGTTTTATCTCCTTGTGCGGGGGTTGATCGCCCCCCCTGTTCGCTCTCGTAGCGGCGAGCGGGAGGGGAGGAACCCTCCGATTTAGTAGAACAATTTCATAACCTTTCAACCTTCACTCGCCTCCCTCGTTCCTGAACCTCCCTCGTTCCCAAATTCCGCTCGCCCCCGAACCCGTCCTCTTCAAAGCCGCTCCCCCCGATGTGTCTTTCAGGTCGGAAAGGATTTCGGAGCGGATCTGGCCATGTCGACGAGGTGAACGACTGGTAACGAAAACGCACCCGAGGCCCCCCCCCACACTCCTTGCCCTCCCCCTCCCTCCCTCCAGGCCGTGCTCTCGAAACGAAGCGGGCCTCCCTGGAGCTCTCGGCCCCGCCTCGGGACACACTTTCTCGTCCGCGTCGTCTCTGCGGGGCCTGGGGGCCCACGACAGGCCTCCAGAGGCCCACACCGTGAAGTGCATGCCGCCCTGATGGTTCGGAGGGGGCGCTGGAGGCCAGTCGCGGGGAGGAGGAGCGACACCAACACCACCAGGGGGCCCACCTCCTGCAAGAGGGTCCAGGATGCTTCCCCGAGCTGGAGGCTGGGGATGTCTCGAGCGAGAGGGGGGGACCACACCACCAGGGAGACCACCCTGTTGCTCCTGGCATCTCCTCGCCCTGGTGGTGTTGGTGTCGCCTTTCTTCGTTCCTATTCTGGGACCCTCTCTCCCCTCCCATTCCCCCCTCCCCACAGTCGAGCCCGCAGCCTTTTTGGGCCGAGACGCGCCTCTCAGGCACTTCCCGCCGCATGTCCGCACGCGGCCTGCACCACTGTCGGCCCGTGCGGGCCAGAGGGGGGTGGGCCATCTGGTGGGGGCGCCGGTGGACCGCGAGGAGGCATGATGAGGGAGGGAGGGGTGGAGGGAGAAAGGGAGAGGGATGGAGGAGGAGGAGGAGGAGGAGGAGGAGGAGGAGGA